GTTGAGTCGAGTCAAATTTAAGTATAACTCGAGTCGAGTCGAGTTAGAGTTTTAAAATTTTTTGACTTGACTTGACTTGACTCGACTCATTAGGGGCTCTAAATGGATGTGAAAGCAAATGACAGGAAAGTTCAAAACAAAGGAAGAAATCCTAAAGTAAAAAACCATGAAAAGATAGAAGAGAATTCTGAAAATGCTTTTAAGGTAAAGAATGCTGTTAAGCATTCTAAGGAAAGCGAGAAGGATCTTAAGAAAAAGAATATATAGACAGTCCAATTAAGATAATAATTAGTACAGAAGAGGATTTTACTTTTAGCTTTCTTAAACTGCTAGGGTATATATCAATATGTACGAGTGTATCTCAAAAAACATTTCTTTCATTTTGAAATTAAAAAGAAAGGCTTACTTAAATTCTTCTTAAAAAAGTACGATCTTGATAGCAAAGCTGAAATACCATATGATAAAATATGAAAAATCTATTCAGAGGTAAAGAAAAACTCCTTCTCATCAATTGCAAGAAATATGTGTGAAGTAGCACAATACTGTATTATAGATGCACTTCATTATCAAAAGCTTTAGTAAACCAAAGTATAATAAATGATTATAGAGAAGTTGCCTCTATAGCTTACATTTTTCTTTTCGACATGCACAATCATGCAAACAGAATGAAGATACAAAACCTTTTTAGCATATATGCTATTAAATAAGATATGATAATTAGTATAAGGATTTATGAAAACTAGAAAAAGAAACATATACGTATTCCGCCTAAAAAAAGTATCATGAAAGAAAGATTTGTAACGGATCTGGATTTTGTATCTTTATATCCTAGCATTATCATGGCCTACAACCTCTCCCCAGAAAAAAATCATATTGGAGTGAGAAAGGCTGATAATGTTCATAAAATGGGAATGAGCTTCATAAGATTGAGTTTAAATTCAATAAGTGTGATGTTCAAGCTTGATGCGTATGTCATAAAAATCAATCTGAAAGGAAAGGATTATTTCTGACAGTATTAGAGGATTTATTTAACAAAAGGGTGGAACTTAAAACATGTCTGGCCTCATTAGAAAAGAAAAAAAGACATCTTGGAAAGATGAAAACTTCAGCTAAAGAAAGAAGCAAAAGGATTCTGGAAAGCTTTAATTTAAAATACTCATCTGTTTGCTTCGATTATAATTATTTGGATTCAAAGCAAAAAGCTTTGAAGGTATATATAAACACATTTTATGGAGAAGCGGGAAACTCAAAATCTCCAATCTTTCTTTGTGAATTAGCCTGTAGAACTACTATAGTGAGAAAATACAATCTTAACCTTGTCGTAGAATTTGTATCAAGGAAAGGATTTAGGATAAAATATGGAGATACTGATTTTTTGTATCTCACCTGCCCAGATAGGTATTATGAGAAATATGGAAGGTTCCCTTGCACTTATCCTTGATTAGTCCTCCACAACTATAAGGATTTCAGCTACGATTAACAGATTAACGAATTACCATAGGCACGACCACAACCCAATCGCATGTGAAATAAAAAATAATGCCAATTGATATACAATTCACATGAAAATTCTTTTAGCGCAAATTATAAATAAATTCTTTATTATAATAAAATCATAACGAAATAAAGCACAAAAAAACAAACTATAAAGAGTGTTATTTCCCTCAGAGAAATATTTGTATCATAACCCCGCCAATCTCACGCACGTTCAATGCAATGCAATGTCCTGAGAGCCAACAAATCTCCAAATA